CAGCCCAGTTTGTATATAACTGACACAAGTTAAAGTTAACAAACAAACAAACAAAAAAGAAATACATAGGACGTATATATAAAAGTACAAAACACGCCATAATGAGTGTATAGACCTATGCAGCTGCTCTAATTAATGAGATCTGGTTGCTTCTTGTGGCTACATATATATTCAGACACTAGGAGGTCGAGCCTGTTGGATGATCCTGAGAGAAAGCCGGTTTGTTCAGAGGTAAAGCCTGTTCTTACTGACTTCCGCACACGTCCGAGAATTCTGTGCTTGACTCAACGTGGTATTGATCCACCATACCTAGTATTAGAGTTGGGGCAGCCAGAAAGATATACAATGCTTGGACATGAATCTGAAGTAGAGGATTTTCTCTCCTTTTTGGTTTACGAGAATAAGGATTTAGACAACCGATAACCTTTTTTATGTGTGCAAAACAGGGCTTTATTTCCTGCCGATAAAAATATAGATAGATAGGCAGATATATAGAGATATTAATAGATATATACAGAGAGAGGTAGATATGCAGATAGATAGATATATAGATAGAGGTAGATATGCAGATAGATATATATAGATAGAGGTAGATATGCAGATAGATATATAAATATATATAGATAGAGGTAGATACGCAGATAGATATATAAATATAGATATAAAAATACAGATACAGCTACAAATACAGATATAGATACAGATATAGATATAGGTACATAGATATACCGCTCAGATATTAACGAAGAAGACTAATACTGGCTTCCCTGCCCTCAGGATGCTGAAAATGGAGGAGACTGGTGTGATCGACTCCATACGGCGGCGCTGGCGGAAGCGTCTGCCCGAGTGCTCGCTGCCGACCAACACCGCCATGTCCTTCGAGCAGGTGAGCACCGCCTTCCTCGCCCTCGTGCTGGGGGGCTCCGCGGCCGTCGTAATCCTGCTGGGGGAGCGCCTGGCCTCCTCCAAGAGAGTCGCGGCGCTGCGTTCGAGGGCCGTCTCGCCGACCTCAAAGATCCGCTCGCCCTGGCAATGAGCGAACCTGGGCAGGGGCGGCTGGCAGGTTGGGGGGGGGGGGTGCTCCAGTATATTGAAATGTGGTTCTCGATTTGCAACTGGTTACATAGTGTTCGTGGCATTGGGGTAGAATGAGTAAAGATATGTAGGGAAATGTATTTAGAATGTACAAATGCGTCTGTTTTTCTGTCTCTCAGCCTCTGTTTGTCTATCTCAATCTGTCTGTCTGTCTGTCTGTCTCTCTCTCTCTCTCTCTCTCTCTCTCTCTCTCTCTCTCTCTCTCTCTCTCTCTCTCTCTCTCTCTCTCTCTCTCTCTCTCACACACACACACACACACATATGTTTATAGACACATATCACATACACGTACGTATAAAAGAACAATCACATATATAATTTTGTAGATATAAAATATATTAGAATAAAAAAAATCAAAGAAATGTCCTTTTTTAAATTTTAACCTAACCCCTTAAAAAGAGAGTCTTACCACTAATGCTGCAACACTTCAAGGCATGCACGCAATTGCAAATAGTACCCTCAGAGAAATTACCGTACGATTAAAAAATCACAATCAATATATTTTTTCATAAGGAAAGTAAGAATTTTATTTAAGAAATAAAGGAAAAAAAAACAAAAAAAAAACGTAGGATGGCAATCAGATAAAAACGAAAGGATGTTAGTCGTTTTATATAAATCCTGTTGTTCAACCATTTAACTGTTTTGTTTATCTGTTTCCGTTTGCAATGATAATGATAATAATAATCGTAATAATTATAATAATAATAAAAAAATAATAACAACAATGATGACGATAATGATGATAATGATAATAATGAGGATAATGATGATGATAATGATAATAATGAGGATAATGATGATGATGATAATGATAATGATTATAATGACAATACTTTTAATAATGATGAGTGATAATGAAAATAATGATGAGTGATGATGATAACAATGATGCTAATGCTGATAATAATGGTAGCAATAATAAAGATGATAATAATACTACTGATGATAATACTAATGTTAATGGTAATAATAAAGATAATAGTAAAAAAATAATTACAGCAACAATAACGACGACGACGACAGTAATAATAATAATAATAATAATAATAATAATAATAATAATAATAATAATAATAATAATAATAATAATGATAATGATTATGATAGCAATACTAATGATAAAATAATTATGATAATTATGATAATAACAAAAACAATAATGATGATGATAATAATGATACTGATAATGATAGTAACAACAAAATATAATGATAATGATAAAATTAATAATAATAATGGTAGCAATAGTAGTAGTATGATTAATGATAACAATAATGATAATAATAACAGTAATGATAATGATAATAATGATAATAATAATAATAATAATAATGATAATAATAATAATAATAATAATGATAATGATAATAAAAATAATGATAATAAAAATAATGATAATAATAATGATGATGATGATGATGATAGTAATAATGATAATAATAACAATAATAATAATGACGGTAATAATAACGATAATTATGAGAGTAATGACAATAATGACTTTTATTTCATCTGATTCAAGGATGAGGAAGGGAGTGTAACGCTGCACGAGGAAAACTGCAAAAGATCCATTATGAAACAATCAAAGGGTAATACGGGTAGAAATGGTAGCTGTAGAAGTAGGAAAGGAATCCAGAAATGAGATAAGGGACCATCGGCGTGCTTCTTGCCTAGTTTGAATCTGACAACTGCTACCTTAGATTTGAGCTTGTATGCAGGGCAGCTTCTATAAAATACATTATGGGAGCCACCACAGTTGGCACATGGTCATGGCCAGGGCAGCAGACTGTGGAGCGACATTGTTTGGCTGGCACTCCACCAATATAAACTTCATGGGGAAGGTTATGGCTAATCTTGGTAATATTGGTGTAGGACTTACGTTGGCTTCTGGGAGGAATAGTGTAGCACAGGACTGCTACTGTATCATAGTCGACGAGGCGTGCGTTTGCACAGTCTGACTAGTCCATATCGAAGCCAGGAAAATCAGTCGGGGAGACGGAATAGTTTGGTATAAGTGAGGTTGGACGGGAATTGCTTGCCAGTGAGGTCAGTCAGGGTAGATAGTGCACGAGCTTGGGACTGAACTGTTACTGTGATAAGATGTGAACGGTCGGAACGACTGAGAAAGGAAACTTTGCCTACTTGTATTTGGAGACATTGTTGGAAAAGAAGGGTACTGTCAGAGTATGGGGTTGTAGGGGGAATCATAAAGAATCGATCCAACTTGCTTAGGCCAAAAAGGGTACTCAAAGGGTTTGCAGACGTGGAAGCAACAGAAGGAAGAGGGCGGGAGGAAGATGGGGTGGTATGGAGAGAGATAGTAGTACTGTTAGGAGGGCAATGAGGAAGAAGAGTAGTAGTAGGGGATGTTGGGGGTAGATAATGGAGAAAACTGTACAGTAGGAGATGGAGTGGAGGATGTTGGAAGAGAGGAGGGGATGTATTCTGAAGGTTGAGTAATGACCTGGGTTGATAATTCAGAATGGAAAGAGTTGACAGCAAACATCGTTGAGCGGGAAATAGTATCAGTGGTTGGAACTGTGGTCAGAGGAGAGGCAGGGGTCGGGACACCAATGGAATCAGATTTAGATAGGCTGTCCCTAACAAGGGTAAAAAGCCCCCCACGAAAACAACGAGCAAGGGATTAGGAGGGGGGGGTGTAGTTGGGGTTATTTACGTGAGTTCATGACAACTTTCTGTGTATTTTCATTTATGTTTTATCTTGCTGGATGTTGAGTGTTTGTATACAGGCATTTATGAAAGTGATTTATATTTTTTTGATGTTTTATTTTGTATATGGGTTTATGGCCATGTTTGTAATTAATTATACCACAAGTGTGTTTGTCACTGTATCTACCCATGTGTGAATTATAAGAAAGTATAGTGTTAAGACTGATAAAAATGAAGATGGAAACGATATTACTAACATGATATACATACATGGAGCAACATTTATTAAAAAAAAAATAGATTTCCGAAATAATATATTCAGAAAATGCTTACTTTTTTAAAGTCACTCATAACATAGATTTAATGATCTATTAATTGAGGTCTCAAGGCTTTATCTATAGTTAAAAACACGACAACATATGCATTTACACATTTTATTCAGCAGATATCAGGAGTATTTGCATAAAAGAGATCAACTTTGTACAAATAGAATCAGAAAATAAAAATACATCTGTTCTACCATTCTCGACTTCAAAAAAATCTATTATATAAAGAGCATCCATTATATATTAACACTAGATACCATACTTACAATGAACACAGTTAGGATAAGGAAAAAGTATGAAGAACACCCCTTAGATGAGTGATTCTATTTGAGTGTGAATTGACGTGGATTCACATTCTAAAAGCAACTCTGGGGGGTGTTCATGGGCTTGTTTGACAGATGAAAAAGGAGGAGGGGTAGGAGAAGAAGGAGAAAAAGAAGGATAAAGGAGAAGAGGAAGGGGACTGGAAAGGATTAGAAGTTGAAGAAGAAAGTATGAACATTAATTACATAATATATTCACGGCTTAATATGATAAGCACTTTCTGCAAACACGCTATTGATATATACAAACATGTACAAAAACACATTTTTTTTTCTCGATTCAGAAAATCAAGAGTAAATATATAACGGAAAAAATACAACATTTCCGGTTATTCGTACTCTTGTCCATCATTTTTAAAAGTTATTTTCGTTCACCTTTATATACTTGGTACAACGTCTCGTGTGCTTACTGAAGGAGAAATACCCTGTTTATCGAGATTTTCCAAAAATAGGGTTTTGTTCTGAAACGCCAAAGCAGCAAGCAAATATCATAATCTTTCTGAATATACACATCTCTGCTTTTTCCATTCCTTCGTTTATCCTCCTGTCCCTAGTCATCCTTACCCCCTTCTCCCTTTTCCCCTTC